GCAACAACAATACTACAGCGAGAATAAAAGCTACGCCTTCTTTCTTTGCGTGAACATTTGGGCGGCATTATGCAAATCTTCCCACATCGTGACGTGGACATGTGGGGGCATGTTAGAACGAGCCGTTTTAGGTAGGCGTGGTTGAATCTTAACTTTTATAAAGAATAACTCTTTGGATTTGAGACTTTAGTCTTTGCAACTTTACAGATCTTCTTTATGCACCAAGAGCTTGTAACACTCCAAAGAGAAAGGAAAAATTGAAATCGCATCATATGACCCCTTTAAACTCATCACAGAATCCTAAAAAATGTATCACAGTTTCCACAAAAGTATTAAATAGCAAAACATGTTCTAACATTTATAATATGTCATTTTTCTTGGGCACCAAATTAGCATATTAGAATGATTTCTGAAGGATCATATGACACTGAAAACTGGAGTAATGATACTGAAAATTCAGCTTTGCATCACAGGAATAATTTACATTTTAAAATACAAGTATTTTAAATGACTGTTTTTACTGTATAAATGCAGCCTTGAAAAGCGCAAGAGACTTCTTTGAAAAAAATCTAAACTTTTAAACAGTAGTGTATATGAGTACATTCATAATGATATGTGAAACATTATATAATGCTTGTTTATAATGTACTATTTAAAGAGTATAATCTGATTTTATAATCCTTGTCGACCTATATTCTTTTTGTCTTTTCACAGACCAAGTGAGGAATAGCTATCAGTTGTACCACAACAGCACACTGAGAGTATCCTATGCTAATGGAATGGGCATCAGCTTTCACACCGAACCACACATCATTGCCGGATCAGTGAGCCCGACCATTGGGAGACGCAACATCACCCTACCCACTGACAGCGGCCTTAACTCTATCGAATGGCGCATGAGAAAAGAGCTGACCAAGGGCAAGGTTACAGTGTTTGGCAGGAAGTTGCGCGTAAGCTTTTCTTTTTACTGTTGAAGTTAGTTGTCAAGTAAAGTCAATTTTATTTGTATAGCACTTTTCAAAGCAGCTTTACAGAAATTAGAATGTTAATGTTTATAATATGTTAACACATTTAGCAGTTTAGAGCTGGGCAATTACATTCTGTGACAATATAAACAATCAATCAGTTGAGATTTGCTATGTAAACTGCAATATTTGATGTTTGATTTTAGTTTCGAACTTCTAAAAAACCTTAAATGTTTTCCCGCAGGTCCACAGCAGAAACCTTCTGTCCATTGACTATGACCGCAACACCAGAACAGAGAAGATCTACGATGACCACCGCAAGTTCACTCTGCGCATCATCTATGATGCCCAGGGCCGACCGGCCACCTGGCTTCCTAGCAGCAGCTTAGCCCTGGTCAATGTATCTTATTCACCCACCAGCCGATTGGTGGGCTTGCAGAGGGGCAGCATGAGTGAGAAAAGCGAGTTTGACACATTTGGACGGATCCTGTCACGAACCTTTGTTGATGGGAAAGTTTGGAGCTTCAGCTACATGGACAAAGTGAGTTGACTCTTCAGAACCACAATAAAGCACTTGTTTTTCTTATAGTGTTAATGTATATACTCATTTTGTGCACCTTTTCATTTCACTTTGCAGTCCATGGTGTTGCTGCTCCAGCAGAGTCAGAAACAGTACATCTTTGATTTTGACACAGCGGGCCGGCTCACGGCGGTCACTATGCCGAGCATGGCCAGACACACTATGGCCACTCATGTGTCTGTTGGTTACATTCGCAACACCTACAACCCCCCTGAGAGCAATGCCACCATTATCCACGACTTCAGTGAGGATGGGCATCCACGCGCTACATTCTACCTTGGAACGGGTCGGCGTGTGCTCTACAGATACGGGAAGCTTGGAAAGCTCTCGGAGGTGCTGTATGACGCAACTGCCGTCAACTTTGGCTATGATGAAACAACAGGAGTGCTTAAAATGGTCAACTTACAGAGCGGAGGCTTCTCTTGCACCATTCGCTATCGCAAACTCGGCCCCCTAGTGGACAAACAGATGTACCGCTTCTCAGAGGAAGGAATGGTCAATGCTCGTTTTGACTACACCTATCATGACAACAGCTTCAGGGTGGCCAGCATAAAGCCAGTAATAGGGGAAACCCCACTTCCTGTGGACCTGTACCGCTATGATGAGATATCCGGTAAGGTCGAACACTTCGGCAAGTTTGGCATCATATACTACGACATCAACCAAATCATCACTACGGCCGTGATGACGCTCAGTAAGCATTTTGATGCACATGGCCGCATCAAAGAAGTGCAGTACGAGATCTTCCGCTCGTTGATGTATTGGATGACAGTGCAGTATGACAGTATGGGCCGTGTAATTAAACGTGAACTGAAGATCGGTCCATATGCTAATACCACACAGTACCGCTACGAATATGACGGTGACGGCCAGCTTGTTGGTGTCAAGGTTGATGACTGGTCCACTTGGCGCTATAGCTACGACCTAAATGGAAATCTCCATTTGCTTAACCCTGGTAACAGCGCCCGTCTGCTGCCACTACGCTACGATCTTCGAGACCGAATCACGCGGCTCGGCGATATGCAGTATCACCTCGATGAGGATGGCGTGCTTGCACAGAGAGGCTCAGACATTTTTGAGTACAATTCCAAAGGTCTTCTCGAGCGAGCCTACAGCCGCACAGCTGGAGGTTGGAGTGTCCTCTACCGCTATGATGGCTTGGGCCGCCGTGTCTTTCGCAGAACTAGCGAAGGCGAGCATCAGCAGTACTTCTACGCTGACTTGAACTACCCCACTCGGGTCACCCATGTTTACAACCACTCGAGAGCTGAAATCACCTCCTTCTACTATGACCTGCAGGGTCATCTATTTGCTATGGAGGTCAGTGGTGGGGAGGAATACTATATCGCCTCTGACAACATAGGCACCCCACTGGCCATCTTCAGCAGCAATGGGCAGATGGTCAAGCAGATGCAGTACACAGCGTACGGAGAGATCTACCATGATTCTAACCCAGATTTCCAGCTCATATTAGGCTTTCATGGAGGGCTTTATGATCCTCTCACAAAGCTGGTGCACTTCGCCCAGAGAGACTATGACGTGCTGGCAGGAAGATGGATTGCACCTGACCATACATTGTGGCCGAAGATAGGCAAAGAGCCAGCTCCGTTCAACCTGTATATGTTCAAGAACAATAATCCACTCAGCGATATGATTGATGTGAAAAACTATGTGACAGGTGAGAAGGTGATAAATTGTTCTGCTTTGTATTTATGGGCTGAGCTTAGAAGTTATGTATAAATGACTCACATTGGTTTCTATGACAGCTTGTAAAATAATTTTTTTTCCCTGTTTTGTCTTACAGATGTGAAGAGTTGGCTGGTTATGTTTGGCTTTCAGCTCAGCAACATAATTCCAGGGTTTCCTAGACACTCGCTTTATTTTGTTGACCCTCCTTATGAGGTACTTGCAAGTCAGGACTCTGATAACACTCAGGTCAGTTTGATTTGGTGATAATTTTTCAATTAAAATTGCTTCACCAGTTTTTTTTTTTTTTCTCGATTTTACGTTCAATATTTTCGCTGACCACATAATGTTTAGAATTATCAGGTTATATTCCATGTATGTTTTATATGTGCTATCAGTATTTATATTTTTCATTTGATGTTGTTTTCTTTACAAAAAAATATTATATTATATTATTCTTCACAAAAAAAGTGTTTAAACAAATTAATGAAGACAATTTGCAAAATGTTTTTGTTACAAATATGTTCCCTACCATTAAAAACTTTTGGTTAAATGTATAGTTCAGTCATGAAACTCTAGATGGTGCATTCTGACAGGGTGTTAACGTAACTGATGATATTCAGAGAGTTAAACGACTTGGCACAAGCTGATTGGTTCATGCTGCATATGCAGCCAATGAGCTTACTGCCTTGCACTTATATGGCTGGCTAGCATTCACTTGAGATTCCTGCAGCGCCTTCAGTGTTCTCTGAAACCCTCCACCTTCCCGAGCTCCACCTGTATAGATCTGCTACGGGGTTATTTTATATATGCTATTTGTGCAGCAGCAGTATGTCTTAAATACTCATGGCACAGTATCGCCATATGCATTGGCAGTAGCAAGTTCCTGTACTTGCTTGCAGCAGCAGCAATAATCTACAACTACAGCAATAACCAACAGCAGCAGCAATTTAGCAGCAGCGTAGCAGATCTGTTCCGCCAAGACCAAATACATTAACATTGTCATATCCATCACCATGCTAAAATGTTCTGAGTGTTGTCATGATTGAACTACTGTTCAAAACATTAAGACTTTTTAAATTAATACTTTTGTTCAGCAAGGATGCATTAAATTGATCAAAAGTAAAAGTAATTTATAATGTTACAAAAAACTTATATTTCAAATAATTGGTGAACTTTCTACTCCACAAAAAAAGAGGTGGTTTGGCATGTGCAACTATTATAATAAGAAAGCACCAAATTGAACACCATATGCAGCATATTAGAATGATTTCTAAAGGATCATGTGATACTGAAGACTGGAATAATGCTGCTGAAAATTCAGCTTTGCCATCACAGGAATAAATAAAATTTTAAGATAGATTAAAATAGAAAAAAATATATTTTTGATTGCAATAATATTTCACAATATTACTGTTTTACTGTATTTTTGATCAAATAAATGCAGCCTTGGTGAACATACAAGACTTCTTTCAAAAATATTAAGTCTCACCAACCTCAAACTTTTGGCAATAAAACAAAAACAACAAATGTAACAGTTTTAGTGTCAGCATGTTCCTAGTCTAAAGGGACAAAATACCTTTCAGTCAAATTTCCTGAAATGCTCTCACACATACTGTACCTTACACCATGTGACAGTTGTCACGTCGTGCCGCGCCGCGACAGCTTGAGGCTGTCTACACTGGACGCGACAAAGTGACCATTGCAAATCATTTGAACTTAGTGTCAGTACGTCATAAATAGAACGAGACATCAGTTTACTTTCAGGGATTTGTCGTGTCGCGCCACGCTGCACCGCATCCAGTGTAGACAGCATCACTGATTATTAAGGGTTCTATAGTATCTTGTCGCGCCGCTTGCGTCCGGTGTAGACATGGTGTTAGACACATCATACAACCTAAAATTGATAGTGACCATATGTATCATATTACTGCTTTTACACTTTTATCAGGTGTCACTAACTATTCATCCATTTTACAGCTTTTCACTGGAGTTCAGCATTCAGTGGACAGACACAACCAGGCCTTCATGGTTCTTGAGGGGAGGCGGCTCAACAAACAGCGGCGCACCAAGCGTGACAAGCCCGGTTACTGGTTTGGCACCAGCACGCCCATCGTAGGCAAAGGCATGATGCTCGCTATCAGGGATGGTCACGTATTAACAGACCTGTCCACCTCAGCTAGCGAAGACAGTCGCAAAATATCACAGATCCTCAGCAACGCCATCTACCTGGACGGCACTCATTACACCATCGATGGTTGGGACTGCCACTTCTTCGTGAAGCTCGGACTAGCTGACAGTGACCTGTTGGCCTTGGGTCTCAGCAGCGGCCACAAGACACTGGAGAGTGGGATCAATGTGACGGTCAGCGGACGCTCCCGCCGGGGCGTCACTATAGAAATCCACTCCGCCAAACTCACATATAGCATCCGGTACGGGCTGTCAGCGCAGGTTCTGGAAAAGGAGCGGAGCCGCCTGCTGGAACAAGCCCACCAGAGGGCGCTGTCTGGAGCATGGGCCAGGGACCAACAGCAAGTGCGCGAAGGCAGGGAAGGCAGGGAAGGAGGACGCGTGTGGGCTGAAAATGAGAAGCAACAACTGTTAGCCATGGGGAAGGTCACGGGTTACGAGGGCTACTACGTGCTCCCAGTAGAGCAGTACCCTGAACTGGCGGACAGCAGCGCTAACATCCAGTTCCTCAAACAGAACGAGATGGGCAGGAGTTCAACTGTTGATGATGCCATGCCATCTCCTACGGAGAGAAACAACAGAGCGCTGCAGAGACGTTTCCCAAAAATGGAGAACCAACAGCCAGCAGCAAGAACACTATGACCCATTATTGAAAAAAAAAAAAAAAGCACTTGTGAACAATGATTTTGTAGTGATCTTTTGACATTATAGAAAGTGGTAAATATTTTTTAGTCAATTCAGACTGGCTGTGAGTGGCGGACATTAATGTGATGATAGTGTGATAGCTCGCTTTGGTTTTTCATGACTGCATATCAAACATCACAGAAATCATCACTCATGCCGCAGTACTCGATAAAACAGCATCACCTGCTCCCATATGTGTTTGTGAAACTACACTGGAACATATTCAAAAGGAACGTCAGCGTCTCGACACTTTCAGTCTCGTTCCTCATGAATTTTCTCACTATACGTCAACGCAGTGTTTGGTATTAAGATTTTAATCACACCGTGTGAGGCTGAGCTTTCTGATTGGCTTTCGCTGGATGTGTTAATCATCGGCTCAGAGTCTGTGCTCTTCTGTTCGCAATATATGACAATCACAGGGGCTGATACATTGATCAATAAACTGTACATGAGCCAACCGTTTTGTATAATATGTAAGAGATTCTTGATTGTCTGGGTTTTTTATTATTATTTTATTAATTTAAATTCGACTTGACAAGTGAAAACAGATGAAAGTGTAATATATATTGTTTTTTAAAACTGAAACATATGACACATGTAAATTATTCTCATTGACTTTGGGTGTATCAAATCAAGACCATATCTTCAAGGAAGTGGTTTCATCATTACGTTGTGTGAAAATCCATTGCAAGACTCACCGCAGAGGTTGTTTTCTTTGAATATATTACGAAAGCTAATGCAGCCGTTGACCTTTTTTTCTTGGTGTAGAATCTCTGACTGTGGTGAGTCAGTGTGGATATGAGCTTCAACTAGCAAAGTCACACTCAGACACCTGTGGAAGGAGGTTCTTCTGAAAATCTATGAAAATAAAACATTTTCATTTGTACCTTTTGAATTTGAATTACTTCCTTTACAGCTGAGCAGAATGATTGTGTTCCATCAGGGCCATGAAAGACAAATAGTTCTTAATTTCACGATTCACATAATGTGTGATTGTCTATTATTTAATCTAAATATCAACTTCTAGTCAGCAGACCAAAAGAAAAAGGTTATCGTGAAGTGTAGATGGTTCTATGTTTTTTTTGTGAAAACTTTAATTTCTACAATGTGACTTGGTTTGTTTTTGTTTGTACTTTTAACTAAAGATCAGCCAACATGAACCTACAAAAGTTTCATGAAAACGGCATTTTCTTGTAGATTCCATCTAACAATCTTTTCAGTCTAAAAATACTAGCATAATGCGCTACATTTAAGTCTATATAGTAATTTACTCAGACTCCGCAGTTCCATAACATTGCAACATTGTGAACGCACAGAGAACAATGACTTGTCCTGTTATCAAGAAATGTAGTCAAGATGCCAGAGAACTAGAAGTCAAAACCGTGATTTTCTGGGGCCAGTGAGGTGGAATGACAGTCAGTTGAGAACATCAGAAAGTGTTTTGTAAAGATCTCTGTGGTCGACAAGGACTGACATAAACAGAGTTTCAGAATTTTTGACCTTTTGTAAAAATTTCTACCATTGAATTGAAACAATATAGTAATTTTTAATTGTTTTGCTGTTATTTCCATGAGGTTTCAGACTGAATGGCCAAAGATCAGACCGGCTGTAGCTGTCACTGTTGACAGTGAGAGAATGGTAAACACAGCTTTGCTTTCAATAGCCTGTTGCAGTGCAGGTGTTAAGTTTATACCCATGGGAACCACTTCCAGTGAAGTGCTGCACACTGGTGCTGGGGGAAGGGATCACTCAAGAGTGTTGCACTTTTCTCTCGAGATTCTGCTAAGTACATGATGAAAAACTCAAAACAAACAAGGGATGTGTCAATTCATAAATGCTTCTTACCAGGAACTTGAGTCTTGACATTTGGTCGCCTTGTGTATTTTAACACACACCTACATAAGTAAAAAAAAAAAGTGCAAAGCTCCAGCAAAGACAAGTCAACATATCTAAAACACCAAATTAACATTGTTTAATTCAGATATCTTTATAGGTTTATTATTTATGAACATGCATACAACAACCTATCCTAGATTCCAATCAGTGATGCTTTTTGCCTTGCTTAAATGTGAGTAGACAAAAGCGTGTTGTCTGTAGTATCTGAGGGGTGGAGCACTTTAGTAGAACACAATGAAAAGTCAGCGATGTGTGATGACTGAAAAATAATGACATTAATAATGCATTTGCAGCTCAGCAAACAATTCCTAAAAGGATTCCCAGTCAATACTATCTCATTTAGATACAATTCCACATTAACTTTCTAGCTGAAAATGCAGACAAAAAATCAGATAATAAATTAAATCAGTTGAATGTTTTTGTTTTTACTTTGTAGGTTCAGGTCTGTTGCCTCATATTGTGTTTAAAAAGTTCAAAGGATGTGCAATTAAATGTTCAGAGTGGAATTTTGCCAAATGCTTCACTGGGGCGTAGGAGATAATTGTTTTGTTTTGTTTTGTTTTGTTTTGTTTTTAAATGCAAAATTTTGTTTGTGTTTGTAAAAGTACAGCTTCCTGTCAGTTTAATATGCTGAAACTTGGTTCCTCAGAAAGTGTAAACACTGTGGCTCTGTAGTGCTTTCAAAACATTCGTTTTGTTTGAGCACCCAGAGCATCTCGAACAGCCCACACTGACTCAACACAACACTGGAGGACTGTCCGGAAAATTAGTAAAAAAAAAAAAAAATTATTCTTTTTGGACATCCTACACAGAAAAGCACATTTTGTGTAAACAAAAGTGATGACGTCTTATTTCCTTTATTTTATTCAATAGAAACAAACTTTTCCTTGACTGACATATTAAGACAGATCAAACATTCAAGGCCATATTTGATTATCAAATCTGGTCTATAAACAAGCAAACTTGTCATTTTTGCATTCATTAATAAAGATGACATCTGTATTATTTTCAAAAGACAAATAATATAAACATTCTGTTTAATATGCCTCTACAAATACGATCAATGCATGTAATCAGTCTCTCAGTGCATATCATGCATAATTGAAGGAATAAAAATAGGTGCTCCAAGTTGGACTACTGGAAATGAACGCTACAACAAAAACATAACTTTATCTGTTTCTCAATTGCTTTTTCAGTAGTCAGACATAAATAAGGATTAGATCATGGAGTGAAAGATCTTTACAAATAAAGGAGGGGCTCACAGTGGTTTCTTCATTATTCTAGGTCAACATGTCCCAGAGGCAGCAGCAACACAGGGCCGTCCAACATGCAGTAAGACATGCCTGGTCCCCGGAATCATCCCGCCTGCCCTGCTCCACAACATACACTGGAGAAAAGACACAGAGATGGAGAAAAACACTGCTCAGAATGGCAAGTTTATTGCAAAGTAGATTATAAATGACATGTTTTTAAATTGGTCTCCGAGGGTCTCCACTGTATGCGAAAGTCCAAGGTTATTATAGTTTTGAATTTTTAAATTCGTTTTATTTTAATATCGTTTTCAAATTTGCTATAAACTTCAGTTTAGTTTTTATGAGTTTCATTCATATTTTTGTTAGTTTTAGTTTAGTTTTTATTTTGTGAACGCATTTTTATTTAGTTTTTATATAGTTTAGTTTCAGTTTTAGTTTCAGTTTTAATTAAAGTTTAGCAGAATTAACAGATCACTTCCAGAGCGCAGGCCAAAGAAAGACTTAGGCATAATTTAACCTTAGTGAGGCAAACATATAGCGACACAAAATTAACGCATGCTGAGATTGATTAGATAGTAAAAGTATACAAATATACGCCAAAGAAAGCAGGCAAGCCTTTTTTACTAAATTAATCTACACAAGCAGGGGCATAAATTTCGTCTAACAATAGGGGGGGACAATAAACATAAAATTTCTCAAGAGCAATATTTGAAGGGGACACAAGGCGTAGCATATTTTCTTAGCGATAGATGCTATTTACACTAAGTGAAAATAGCAGTATTTGTTTTGTGATATGCTATTTACACTAAGTGCAAATAGCTATTTATACTATATTAAAATAGCAGGATATTCTGCTAATTACTTATTGCCAATAGTGGCAATTATCTGCACCTCAGCATTGTAATACATTATAAAACAGTATGCAATTATAACTTACTGAGTGTACATTTTTTTTAACACTGTAATATTCTAAATGATTTCTAAATCTAAATATTTCCTTCATTTTTATTTAAAAAATAAATGCTTTTCTGATGTGATTTGAAATTTGAAAAGGGAAAAAAAAGTTTGCCAAAAGGCAGATTCGAACCCGGGTCGATCGCGTCGTAATGTTGACTAGCCCAATCACACGTTGGTGGATGGAGTTAGAGTAATAGCCTTTGCCACCGATTTTTTTAAAATTCACAACAGTTAAACAGTATCTGTATTAAAGAGAAACTAATCACTTCATCCGATGTTTAAGTGAAGAAATTAGCCTTGACAGCCTTAACAGTTACTTATTGGACTTCCTCAACTATTGGCTTTGTTCTCTCTCACCGGACTTGTGTGTGTGTAAAAGACGAAAGCAGGCATTTGGACCAAAGTGAGGCAAGGGAGGGGGAGACTCAAAATGTTTCTAAACTTAAAACACATTTTGCCCCGTTTGTGTTGTTTAACTACTTACAATTGATTAAAGTATAAAACATTGTTATTTACAATGCACAGCGTGGTTTTTAATCATATTTTTAGGGGGGACAACCCTCAGATGTACCTCTGATTTGCTGGCTGACCCAAATCAGACAGTTATAGAAGAGCACAGAACCGACTCAATAACAGCTGAGTAAAACTGTGTCATATGCGCCTGTGACAGGTTGAACTTTTTCAGCTGACGAAGGAAGTACAACCTCTGCTGGGCCTTTTTCACAATGGAGTCAATGTGAATGTCCCACTTCAGGTTCTGTGAGATGGTGGTTCCCAGGAATCTGAATGACTCCACTGCAGCCACAGAGCTGTTCATGATGGTGAGTGGGGGGAGAGCAGGGGGGTTTCTCCTGAAGTCCACGATCATCTCCACTGTTTTGAGCGTGTTGAGCTCCTGGTTGTTGTGATTGCACCAGACAGCTAGCTGCTCAACCTCTTGTCTGTAAGCAGACTCGTCGCCGTCCTGGATCTGCCTGTAGGCTGGTCATATCCAATGATGTGTGTTGAGATATTTAGTATGAAATTAAATGTAGCCTGATTTGGTTATATGTCTTTTCTTATTTAACCATAATCATGATATTGTAACTGTGGTGTCTTGCTCACTTTTCCGTGCACAGCCATGCATCAATCAAAATTGGGACTAATGAAATTCAATAATAACAGCAATCGCATTTAACAGTACAGGCTTATATTTGAATGTTCTTTTCATTTATGAAGAATTATAAGCGTGTGTATGATGTGATTTAGCCAATGCACATTTGTTCAAAAGCCTGGCAGAGTGATCACAAGATGCTAGGCAAAAGTTTTGTGTTGTTTACAGAAAGGATGCGCATTCTCATCTTTTTTTCTGTTAAATATCATGTCTTTTTCTTCAAAGCACCAACTCAGAATGCCTAATGTTGGTTTGAGTGCTTGTGTTACATGATAAAATAAATAATCTTGCTTACCTGATGTAATAATTTAATGC